AAATACAAGGAATTAGCATATCATAAGGATAACGGCAAAAAAACAATACTCAAAGAAGAGTTTGGTTACATTTCCTTTTGAACACTTCCTCCAAGAACTTAGCAACAATTTGGGTAATCTCGGGTATAGCATCACAAAGCAAATACTGGCAGGATGATGCAGAATCCACATTGTTCAGTGGGTATTTACCCTGCAAAGGTCTTAAGAGCAAATCATGCTGAAGAGGCACAAATAAATGACAATTGAAAATGATATGATAGATTGTATCTGGGCTGCCACAAAGACAGAGCCTGTCATGGATGGGATTGCGTTTATACCTTCCAAGGAGCACCTTAGAGAATCAAATTCATAACCTTTGGGCTGTGCAGTGCTTTAGACAGAAATGGAAAAATGTGCTTAAGCCATGTATGGGCAGGCAGGTAGCCGCAGTCAGCAACTCCTTAAAGCAAACGCATCTTCTCTATGGGACAAAGTGGGCGATGCTGGGAAAATATGCAGGTTGTTTAAGAAGCTGTCAACAGGCGCTATCCGAGCGCTTCCTTTTACTGGGCATCATCTTCACAGCAGTGTAAATAAATGAGGTGGTTTCAAACTCAAGCCAGGTACTCCCAAGTTTATTTATAAGTCAGATTCAGTTATCTCAATGCAAGTACTACTGATTGAGTAAAATGACAGCCTGGAAGTACTTGAATGCATCTTACATTATATAACTCAAGAAATGTATAGAAGAACCACTTACTGATCATATCTTACTTTTATTTCCTGATCCAGATAGTTTGGGGTATAATTAATATCTTCCCTGATGTCTGGTTTGTGATGCATTCCCTGATAAGGGAAAAGCTGGAGGTCCTGGTAAGTCTTACTTTTTGGATGGTCTCCTAAGTATTTCCGCAAAGGGTCATCCTAATGACAAAGTATCATACAAAGAGAGGTGGTAAATATAGGTGGGACCAAAACACATCTTTCCAAATTTGCTATGCTTCTGTTGGGCTGTGTTGTGATATGGAAAAGGGGTACATCTGAGGAGGTGAGGGGAGATCTTTGCAGGGCTCAAGCCTGCAGCGAAGTCGGGGAAAAACTAACTATGTGACCCTCTTCTTCCCTTTCTTCCAACCTGGGGAGACATGGCCTCAGCTCCTAAGCTATCTGACAGGTTGTCTTGGAGACCAAAGAATTCTCTTTATGCTCCTTGGTGCATATACTGTAGCTAAATGTCAGATCCAGTCTCCTAAACACACCAGTTGCTAAGTCTATAGGTCTATAGGTAAACCCCCTTTCTACAATTATACAATCTCCACAGATACTTTGTGTGTGTGTGGGTGGGTGGTACCTTCAAGTCAGTGTTGACTCCTGGTGACTGCCTGGACTAGTCCCTGCAGTTTTCTTGGCAAGATTTTTTGGAAGTGGTTTGCTGTTGCCTCCTTCCTAGGGCTGAGAGAAAGTGACTGACCCAAGCTGGCTTTGTGCCTAAGACGGGACTAGAACTAACAGAATAACAGATTATAGAATGATTATTTAATCACTACACCAAACTGGCTGTCCCACGAATACTACATCCATGTAAATCAGAAGCAATCATGTCTTTCCCCAATCATTTCTACAGCATAGATCAAGTCAGTGTTGACTCCTGGTGACTGCCTGGACTAGTCCCTGCAGTTTTCTTGGCAAGATTTTTTGGAAGTGGTTTGCTGTTGCCTCCTTCCTAGGGCTGAGAGAAAGTGACTGACCCAAGCTGGCTTTGTGCCTAAGACGGGACTAGAACTCACAGTCTCCCAGTTTCTAGCCTGATTCTTTAATCACTACACCAAACTGGCTGTCCCACAAATACTACATCCATGTAAATCAGAAGAAATCATGTCTTTCCCCAATCATTTCTACAGCATAGAAGTATTGCTGAAATTTGGCTATTTGGGTGGCATGATCATAAGGCACTGACGATTGTATGCAACCCAAGACAAGAAGTCCTGATTGGTTGAATTATAATGATGGTAGAGGGCTCCTTACCTTTTTCTTTAAGAGAGGAGTGTTTCCTGCTTGTTTTCTTAGCTCTGCAAATTCATCTTTATTAAGATCTGGAATATAATGAAGGTTTTTAAAATGTTAAAGTTGAAATTAAGAAGGATGAACAGCTAATTAAACTTCTATTGAAAAATTCACTAATGTGTAGTATTTTTATTAGTTGGGGATGGGAAAATAGATACCCAAATTCAAATGTGCAATATTGTAGTGATACTAATATATACATGCTAGTGGATATACCTTTTTGCAAACCATTCACAGTCCAACAGAAGCATAGCAATTTACCACAACACAAAATTGTTCATTAACCTTGAAAAACACAAAGTAAAACGTGATAGGCTGGTCCAGTTATTAAACTGCATCTCAAGTTGGCCTTTTAGTTGCTTCTCGGTCTCTTACATCTGTTGGATCTCCAGTTATAAACCACCCAGGGGTGGCAGACACTTCACTGAGAAGTGGCTTCATCTTAGTACTCTTCAGCCATTCATTTCCACTGGAAGCATGGAAAAAATTAATATAGATGTGAACGTCTAAGATGCATTTTGATGTCTCATAGGAAAAATCCAGACTGTAACTTTGAAAGGAAGGATTCAAACCTCAGTGGCTTTGCAGTCATGCGTTTTACTTACGTGGAAGATTTGCCCTGGTTGTCCCTGGGATCAGGCTTGGCAGAGCATTACTGGGGAAAGTCTTATCTGTGGCAGTTCCAACATGCCTGTAAAGCTGACTGTGTTCTGGGCTTGGGATGATGAAATGGCCTTCATTGTATGCTTGGTCCCGTACAACACAGATAGGTGCATCATTTAATCCTGGGCAAGAAAATGTGCCTTTAATATTTTCTCAGGTGCATAATTGAGTTTGGCATAATGGGCAGGCAATCTTTTGGGGCCACTGAATAAATTAGGAATTTTAAGAATATGCTGTGGTTGCTTTCACCAAAGAGCTGCCTTGGTGGTCAAGACGCAAACTTTAAATTACTAGAATGCAAACGAGTGAGGTTGCTCCCTGCCACCCCTTTCCGCTTCTGCCGAGATCCTTTTTACTATTCTAGCTTGACGGTCTTCTCTTTTTCCTGGATGTGCTACAGAAACACAAGGCAACATAAGTGTTGTCCATTTTCATTTTCTTAGAAGGCCTCTGAGAGATATAGGAGGCCTGGAGGTGTCAATAAAGGCAATTTCTGCAAGTTGCATTTTGTGTTGCAAAATTGTAATTAAAAACTATTTTTAATTCAAATTGTTATTTAAAATTTAAGTGAGGTGGGGTAGGAAGTCCTTCAATTGCCATAGGCTTTACACTAGTGACTCTTGCATAAACACAGTGGAATTATGGCATTGAATCTTGATCTTACATAGGCATGTCCACATGATTATGCAGTACACGGAGCTGGTTCATATCTAAATGTTATTTACATGACTGAACAGTCATATAATTTTGGATGGATACATGAGCCAGCACAGGTTAATCATCCCAGAGGAATGCTCACTATATTAAATGCTGTTGTTCCAGATGTAAACTCACCCGTGCATATTTGAACTAACTAACTCCCATTTGAGTTGACTTCAGTCAGTATGAAAACTCTGAGATCAGTCACTTCAGGGACTGATTTTGGTCATCATGTAATGCTTCAGCATCCAACATACTCATCTGAACCAACATTATCCATTTATGAATCTCACAAAATCTCACAAAAGGAGAACACTTCAGTTTAGTGAACTGTAGTTTGCTAAAATACCCATTTATTAATCCATTAACTGGCTGGCAGTGATTTGCTGCATCAAGCAACTTTATTTTCATTCCAGAGTTTATTAGTTAGTTATTGCTAATGAACCTGAGATACCAAATATCTCTCAGTTGATCAGTCTAAGCCATATTATATAAATCTACCCATTATGATTTGTAAATCATAGCTTATGGTTTAGAGTGAAGAGTGATACCAAATCTGTTAGTAAAGAAACCATGGAACAAAGCAAACCACAGTTTAATATAGTATGTGAACTCAACCAATGTTTCTATTCAGGAAACCATAAGTGAGAATAGAGATTAGCCATATGGGCTTTTGGGAGGGTGGGAGGGAGCTTTACCTTTAATGTGACATACTGTTTTGGGATGTGGGGAGTGTCTACAAACAAAGTAAGTTCTTGTCCCTTGCATGGGGTCATTTGACCTTTGCTTTAGGGTTCCTTTGTAGTTCAGTTGAGGCTCAGCCTGTGGTCGGAAATTGATATTCATCTTAAAGCTTTGCTTTTTTTCCATGCGGTTATTCCCAGGGCAAAGAGTGGCTGCAGCATCTCCTGGAGAGAGCTCTAATGCTGGAAATAGAGAGGGACAAAGATTCATACACATCATGGTATTATGGGATGGAGATTGATCAAACTATCTTCTAGGATTGCTTTCAACTCAGTAACCTTGAATATCTGTGGGTCTAGTTGGTATTGTCCTAGGATGAATGCACATGACGAGAAAGGAGAGCTAGGCTGGCCCTAGGAAGACATGAACAGAGAGGACTTACTTTTCTTTCATCCAAGTCTGTTTCTTACATGTGTTACCACAGTTCATCACACATGACAAATATAGAGCAGATTAATATTAATAGCCACTAATAATAATAGCTGCCCAGAGTCCCGTATTGTGGGGGAGACGGGCGGGGGAGAAATCCAATAAATAAATAAAATAAAATAAAATACAGTGGTACCTCTAGTTACGAACTTAATCCGTTCCGTG